TCCTGAACACTTCCACTTTTAATATACTTGCAGCTGATGGTTGAATATCTAGGATTTCACAAGCTTCCTTTTTGCAATTCAGTGACCGCTTTACAATGACCATTACTTCCACAAATGTTCGTAAAAGCATGTTGCATCATACGCCTGTGGGAATGGGACTGAGTTTGCATTTAAAACAAAAATGAATGTGAAACTCCTACCTTCACTTTCCAGATGGACTCGTGTGGGGAGACATCTGGTGTGGTCCGTGTAGTCCAGTGTGCAGAGCACAGCTGTCTTTTCTCTCGGCACAGTGAATAACAGCACCAGTAGTGAACATAAAACATTACTCTCCATCACCTCAACCGACTTATGTTTCTCCTATAAACAAAAAGCAAAACAGGGTCAATTTGATATTGTTTTAAAACAAATAGCAATGAATACAAAACGGTTTTGTGCTTTAAAGGCCATAAATAGTTTGTGCTTAACATTAATGGGTTCTTGGCTTTCAAAATTTATGAATGGAACAAAACTCCACGGTTTCTACTGCTCACCAACAAAACTACAGGTTTCATAAAAAGAACTGTGCAACTGTTTAGGGTACTTTTGATTGTTATATTCTTATTCATAATTTAATCAAAGTGTAAATTAATTCTGTAGTAGAACAAGCCCAAACGTCCAGCCAGAGATATGTTTAAAAAAAAAATAAAAATAAAAATCTTCAGCCACCTAAACATGGAGTCCTGCAACAGATGGCTTTGCCCTCCCAGAACACTGACATGATGGAGTCAACATCAGCTACTGAGGGATATGGTGAAATATAATTTAAAAAAGTGAAATCTGGCACCTTAACAAGCTTCAGCTGCTGCTTGCGACCAGCAAAGGCGTTGAGATGTTTGCTGAGGGTGTCCAGAAACACCCTCAGGTCTGTCTGCATGTTGTTCTGCTCAGCAAGGTTGTTTAGGGGAATAAAGGGAGGGATGTTGTGGCGACTAATCTTTACAGTTGGCTTCAGATCAATCTCCAGGTTAAAGGTGTCTAAGAAGACGTCCTCATAGGCCGTTGCGATAGATACGCACGCTCCTTTCCCCTTGCGAGTCTTTATGATGTCATACCCACCTGATGATATCAGCAAATAAAACAGAGCAGGAAAAAAGAGAGGATTAAAACAGACCAATAAAGGAGAAGTGGGCGGTGTGGTGACGCAACAGCCGCC